TACACTTCCAGCTGGGCTCCTGGTGCTGCCCCTCTCTCGCTGGATGCCAGGCAGTGCACATACAGTCTGTGGTGTGCATTGCTGCCAGCTGCCCATGGGAGAAAAACAGGAAGAGAGCAGCATGCCAGGGGTGTCTCTCACCACCACCAGAATCCCTGCAGCAATGTCCACACATACAGGTAGCCCACAGCTTCCTTGGCAATGACAGTGAACAGGAGCAGCATGGCAAGGACCCATCCACCAACCAGGTAAAGAAACTCAGCAGTGACAGGGACTGCCCCAGCCTCCCTCATACTCCCCACCTACGCACGCCCTGCCCTGCCCCGGTGTGTGTGTCTCTCTCTCTCTCTCTCTCTCTCTTTATATATATATAGACACACACACACACCCTCCCTCTTCTCTGAGCCCTTCACATCCCCATCCTTCCTGCACCCCCACATACATCCTCTGTCCTGACTCCTGCACCTCCCCAACCCTCTCCCCTGACCCCCCACATACATTTAAATTTCTTACAGGTACTGTCCTATCACAACCCCACCACCACTTATCCTGAGTGCTCCAGCAAGGAAAGGTTGCAATAGGAGAGTACCTGTAAGAAATTTAAATGTGGGGGGAAGGGTCAGGGCAGAGGGTGGGGGAGGTGCAGGAGCCAGGGCAGAGGGTGTATGTGGGGGTGTAGCTCTTTACATAGGCAGCTCTCAGACTACAACTCGCCTCCACACGGCAAGACCCAGCACTGAGTTAATCAGTGTACAACTCTCTAGTGTCTATTGCAAAACCAGCATCACAGAAGAATTCTGGGCACAGAGACCCACAATCTCTAGCACCAAGCCCAAAGGAAACAGTCCGGCACCTATGCCATTCCCCGATGCCACAGAAGCAGCACGGGAAGCAGGGAAGAAGTGGATCTTTGACTCCAAGACCCACCCTTTTCGGAATCAGCCAGTAGGGCATGCCTAAGGGAGGAGCACCCAGTGACCATACGACTTCGACCTCACGGAGTGGGGGGAGGGGGACCATCAAGTCTGGTGCCATTGGACCCCTCATCCCAGGTCACTGAGGGGTAGAGCTGCCATCCATCCCAGACATCTTCAAGGCTGTGAGGGACTTGAATCGCCATGACGGTGGGACATGTCACTGGGACAAGTCACTGGTGCCACAATGTGCAGCACCGTCTCAAGGCAAACTAGCAACGCTTCTTCGCTTGGCACAGCATGCAGAGACAAGATGCCACTCTTGGTTCCTGGTGACACCTTTCAGACTCCTGGCACCACTACAGGCACTGGTCCCCATAGTGCATCAGGTCCTTTTCTTTCTACTCAGTTATTTTGCGCAGTGTACTCACTATTTTATGTTCTGCCTTTTCAATATATTTCTCTTCTCATTTTCTACTTGTACTCCTTATTGCCCCATCTTGCTCCCTGTTAGCCTTGACTAGGAGTTATATGTGAAGTGTTACTCATCACTGAGCAATCACTCAGAGCTGAGAAAGGAAGAGAAAGCAAATAGATTTCATTTTCCTACCAGCTGAGAAATCAAAAGTGAAGGAATAAAAGTGAAACTATACAGCATCACAAGCTACAAAGAACTTCTGTTCTGGTGAGCTCTTAGGGCCTGATTTTTAAAAGTATTTGAGCACCTAACTTCCATTTAAATCAGTGGGAGATAGGTGCCCAAATACATTTAGAAATCTGACCTTTAGTAAGTTTCACCCATTTGGCAGCATAGTGTCAAAATATGATCTTCTAAAATTACTTCATCCTTTAAAAAAATCATATCTAATGTGCACAACTTTCTTCATAGAACTGCTTGCACCAAAGAAGTATGTTGTTTGCTTGGTAAACAGGCTAGAGGGATGGCATCGGATGTTAAATTTAAGCACCACAAAGCAAAATAGAGACTTGGGGCCAATCTGCACTCACTCACACCCTGTCCTGCTTCAGAATTGGACAGTCAGTAAATTGGTAAGACCCTTACTTTGCTATGGCAGCCCTGTGTAAAAGTTACGTTTTGTGATCTAGAGGAAAGTAACATTTTCAAAATTGACTTGGGCACTTAGGATTCTAAGTCTTATTGAAAGTCAGTTGCTCAATATTAACATTTGAGGCAAGGGCCAGTCTAAATTTTGGGAATCAGCCTAGCTATTTCATTTTTTTCCAGTCCGGGAAAATAAGCTAACACCTGATACACTCAAGTGCATTTTTGAAATTATCATCATTCTGGTTAAATGAATTCTGTAAATACTATAGACACTGAAGGGATACACTAGCATTTCTTTTGAAGAGTCTTGTATAATGATTATCTACATTAGCAGAGATTTTTTTCAAGTGTAAATCTATTTTTTAAAAAGGGATGTATACAGAAAAATATTCCAAAGAAGATACACATGGGGAGTTGTGATTCAATAAAGTAAGGCATTAGATTTAGACCTCTGTTTAGGAAAATGTTTAATCGTGGGATTATGTACTTTCCTGAATCAGGGTCTTAATCAGGAAACCAAAGAATTTGTAAACATCTGTAAATTCCATACGTTAACTAGACAGACTTTGTTCACTCCTTGCAAACATAGGGATGTGGTCCGATTTACATTTCAAGCAGGACAGATTCTTCTAAAAACAGTGGAACATCTGTGTTCACAAGCAACAGACTTAAGATTAATCAGACCGTCTTTGCCAGCTTTTTTCCTGTATAACGTGATTTTATGTGTTGTATTGTGTAGCCCAAATGGAAAGTACTTCTCACTAGCAATCACAATGCATAATGGGATGCTGACCATTAGGTGAACTGATTGCCCACAAGCTGCTACCAGTTTACTCTTTCAAAAACTGAGCATGTTGCACAGCATTATGTGCAGCTAAGTGTTATCACTTATTTCTCCTTTGCCTCGGAGAAAAATTTGAAGCTAAAGATAATTACTGTTTTTCAAAATGGGGGATAAAAAAATCAGGTGACTACTATGTATAACAAATATTTCATTCCTCTCCTAATTTTTTTCAGTTTTCATTCCTTTCTTCCATTTACACTCTTCTCTCTTTCCTCGAAAGCTCTTTCATGAAAGCACTCTCCTTCCAGTTGAAGTCTGCTAAATACTATTCCCTTTATAAAGCTGTCCGAAACAGCCATTGAGATTGCTGCTCCATGTTCTTCTCCAATTGAGCGCACCGCCACCTTGGAAGCTAAGGACCACATCCAAGAGTTAAACTCTAATCCTCAGCCATAAACTCATATCTTTGAGGATCTTCTTGTGTAGAAACTAACATTTGACTTTATTTCAAGTAGGGATGTTAACATGCAGGTACCGGTAATGGTGTAAACATGTAACTGCTGAAAAACTCAGTGGTTACCGACACCTGCAGCCAGCTTCCTGGGGGCCAGTTCACACTGTTCCCAGGGAGCCGGCTGCTTCACCACGTGTACCAGTTCATGCCTGTCACCCCACGTTGTTAACTCTGTATCAGAGGCAGAAGCAAGTGGCTCCCTGGGAGCAGGACGGGAGCCTTCATGTAACCGTGAACATTAAACTATAAGCCAAGGCTTGTTGGTTAACGTTTACATGGTTATGTGCTTACATCCCTAATTTTAAGGAGAAAACAATGAAAGAGATTACAAATCTCTGCAGAAGTTTCTGGGACGCTTTCCTAGGCACTTTCCTTTGCCCATGGGAGAAAACTCAATCCACTTTGGCCCCTTTTAGAAAGACATGAAATTTTTCTTTTTCTTAATCTATGTAAATCTGCATAATTTGGTATATTTTAATTGTAGGTATATTTTGTCTGAATATCTGTTCATTCTGTCTCTTCTGAGAAATAGACAAGGATCTCTGTGCCTGAAGTTATAATTTTGGTGTTTCAGCCCATGTTTTGTTCTGGTGTAACTAGGGTTGCCAACCGTCTAATTGCACAAATCCAAATACCCCTGCCCCCCTCCACTCCGATGCCCCAGCCGTTCACCTCTCTTCCTCATTCTCCTGAGGCAGGGGGTTCTGGGCTATGGCTTAGTGGTTCGCAGTGTGGGAGAGGACTCTGGATTGGGGGTTGGGTTGCAGAAGGAGGTGTGGGGTGCAGGTTCTGGCCCAGTGGCATTTACCTCAGGCAACTGCTAGTTAGCAGCATAGAAGGGCTAAGGCAGACTCCCTGCCTGCCTGGTCCCCTTGTTGCTCCCAGAAGTGGCCACCATGGAATTGTAGCCCCAGTGCCATGCTGTGCTACCAGACTTTTAGCTGCCTAAAATCTTCCAGTTTGGCTTCAGTAGCCTCTGGGAAATAGAGCCTGATTCGAGGAGACTCCCAATGAAACTGAGAGGGTTGGCAACCCTAGGTGTTGTTCGATCAACCATTTCTCACTAGTGCACACAGCGATGCAGGAAAGCGCACTTTAGTTAACCAGCCTGTGTAGCAATTAACTTAAACTAGTTTGGAATAGAATCTTCAAATCCTGAATTTCAGTGATATTTTGGGTATTGAGACAGAGGATGAGCTCTTCACCCCTCTCTGCCAGACTGCCATAAAAAAGGGCTCTATAAATCCCATATTGGCACTGGGGACATGACCCAGCATAGACACTTGTGGGGAAAATAACCATCAGACTGTCTCCTGAAGTCGTCCTCAGAAACCCTGGCACATGAGTGTGCCACGCAAGGATGGGCAGGAGGGTTGTATCACGAGGCGGGGCTATGTCCCTTAGAGAACCCTGGCAAGGCTACAACAATTTCAGCAGAGCACTCTGGCATTGACAGATGCAAAGATAGTTTAATGCATCTGATCTCAAAATTGCACCAGCATTTTAAAAAAAGGACACAATTGGAAAGTCATTGTTCTGATACTATTCCGTGTTTGATGTCCTTGATTAGTCCTATTGATTTCAGTGGGTCCATGTCGGAGGAAATAGTGATGACATCAAGCACGTAGTGTTAAACTACTTCTAGTCCCAAAATATTTCTCTAATTAATAGAAATTACTTATTTCAGACTTCTGTAATGATGGTTTCTCTTCTTTACTGCAGGTGGTGGAAATGGACCTTAAGAAATTGTGACTCAACATTTTATCCTTCAACTACAAAGTTGTTGTTTTTTTAACCTGTTTGCACTACAAAAAAAGCTGCTAATGGGATAAATGTTGAGACATTTCAAGATTTGACTTGAAGAACCAAAAGCCATTATTAAAAATCAAGAAGAGCTTGAACTTACATCACGATCATTCAGTCAATATTTCCTCAAAACACCACAATGGCAAGTAAACGAAAATCCACTACCCCATGCATGGTCCTAGCAAGTGAGCAGGATCCTGACTTGGAAATGATATCAGACTTGGATGAAGGACCTCCTTTACTTACACCAGCAGAGAATGCTACAGTGGAGAGTATATCAAGTGATGAAGACATTCAAGAATATATGGATTCAGACAATCAGCAAAATAAAAAAGTCGAAGGTGGCTATGAATGTAAATACTGTACATTTCAGACGCCTGATTTAAATATGTTCACTTTTCATGTGGATTCAGAACACCCTAACGTAGTACTAAATTCATCCTATGTTTGTGTGGAATGCAATTTTCTTACCAAAAGGTATGATGCTCTTTCAGAGCACAATCTGAAGTACCACCCCGGAGAAGAGAATTTTAAACTTACCATGGTGAAACGGAATAATCAGACAATCTTTGAGCAAACGGTGAATGATCTCACTTTCGATGGGAGTTTTGTGAAAGAGGAGAATGCTGAGCTATCCAACATCTCAGAGATCCCCTCCTCAGGAATCTCAATTAGCAAAACTCCTATTATGAAAATGATGAAAAACAAAACTGAGGCAAAACGAATTGCTGTTTTCCACAATGTAGCTGAAGACATTCCTAGTGAAGAAAAGGAATCTGAACATGAGCCAGACTGCGAAGAAGTTGTCGAAAACCCACAATCAGCAGTTTCTGAGGCCAGAATGAACAATCCAGCTGCTTGCAGTACAGCTGATACAACTAACACAGTAATAACTCCAGCGCCAGTGATTCAACCTGGGGTGGCACAGGTAATAACTGCTGTCACGGCTCCACAGAACTCGAACTTGATTCCAAAAGTCTTAATACCTGTAAACAGCATTCCAACCTACAACACTGCTTTGGATAACAACCCTCTTCTGCTCAACACCTATAACAAATTTCCCTATCCAACCCTGTCAGAAATCACAGTTCTCTCTGCTCAAGCTAAATATACTGAGGAACAGATTAAAATATGGTTTTCTGCCCAACGTCTGAAACATGGAGTGAGCTGGACGCCAGAAGAAGTGGAAGAAGCTAGGAGGAAGCAGTTTAATGGCACTGTGCATACTGTGCCACAGACAATTACGGTTATTCCAGCACACATTTCAGCAGCTAGCAACGGTTTGCCATCTATCTTGCAGACATGCCAAATAGTTGGTCAGCCAGGTCTTGTCCTCACTCAAGTCGCAGGCACAAACACATTACCAGTCACAGCCCCTATAGCTTTGACAGTAGCAGGGGTCCCAAATCAAACACAGTTACAGAAGAGCCAGATCCATACCGCCCAACCTGTTGCAGAAACAAAGCAAGTCGCTGCCATTCCAGCCCCTCAGCTTATCAAACACGAAACCACGTTAGTAAATCCGGATTCATTTGGCCTCCGTTCCAAGAAGACGAAAGAACAACTGGCAGAATTAAAAGTCAGCTACCTTAAAAATCAGTTCCCGCATGATTCGGAGATTAGTAGGCTTATGAAAATAACAAGTCTGACCAAAGGAGAAATCAAAAAGTGGTTCAGTGATACACGATACAACCAGCGAAACTCAAAAAATAATCATGGCATTCATCTCAACGATTCTTCCACCACAATTATTATTGATTCAAGTGATGAAACGAATGAGTCCCCAACATTAGTCACACCGCAGCATAAGCAGTCATGGAATGCTTTCCCTGATTTCACCCCACAGAAATTCAAAGAAAAGACCGCTGAGCAGTTGCACAATCTCCAAGCGAGTTTTCTCAACAACCCAGTCCTGACAGATGAAGAGTTGAATAGGTTAAGGGCACAAACTAAACTGACCAGGAGAGAGATCAATGCCTGGTTTACAGAGAGAAAGAAAACCGATGCTTTAAAGGAAGAAGAAGCTGAGGTAAAAGAGAGCAATGAAAGCAGTTCAAAAGATGAGGCTGGAGAAAACTCTCAGGGAGAGGGATCTGTTGGGGTAAAGTCAGGGGGTTCTACGAGCAAGATGGGTAAAAAGTCACCAGAGCAGTTACACATGCTTAAAAGTTCATTTGTCCGCACTCAGTGGCCAACCCCACAAGAATACGACAAGCTGGCAGAAGAAACTGGACTTCCGAGATCGGACATTGTTAGCTGGTTTGGGGATACTCGCTATGCCTGGAAAAATGGTGGTTTGAAATGGTACTATTACTACCAGAGTGCCAGTGGGAATTGTATGAATGGTCAAGGCTTTGTCAGAAGGAGGGGGAGAGGAAGACCAAAAGGGAGGGGAAGAGGAAGGCCTCGTGGTCGGCCTCGGGGAAGCAAAAGGATAAACAACTGGGACAGAGGACCGTCCGTCATCAAATTCAAAACTGGAACAGCAATCCTAAAGGATTATTATATGAAGCATAAATTTCTCAATGAACAAGACCTTGATGAACTTGTAGCCAAATCTCATATGGGATATGAGCAGGTCAGAGAGTGGTTTGCAGAAAGGCAGAGAAGATCAGAACTAGGCATAGAGCTGTTTGAGGAGAATGAGGATGAAGAAGAAATGCTGGAAGATCAGGAAGAGGAGGAAGAAACAGATGATAGTGACACTTGGGAACCCCCCCGACATGTTAAGCGTAAACTCTCGAAATCAGATTGACATGTAAGTTTTGGGCTTGGGGCAAAACAGCCCATAGATTATATCTCAACATTTTTGGGATGAGCCAAATAGTTTTTAATGCCTAGTATGTTCCCTCTACCTGAAAGAGTGGACAAGATGTATTTGTGCAGCCACCAAAAATTTGCTTCCTGGCTAGCAGAGATGGACATGTTCAGTGCTAGCCCAGGGCATATTCTACTCCTCCTCCACTGCTGAGGGCTCATCATTTAAGTGACATTTTATACATATTTAATTGCCTTGTGTTTAATTCCAAAAAACACAGTTGCATTTTTCATTGTTGTAGAAGAACATTACCCGCTCTTGGAGGAGGAAAATACAAAAACCTAAAACGTCTGTTTGCAAACCTCACTTCACCTCTAAGGCTCAGAGCTTGGGGTATATGTTTTTTAAAGGAAAAAATTCAAAAACAAAAAAAAAGGGGGAACAGTGTGACAAAAGAATCACAGGGGTGAGGATTACATGGTTTTAGAAACTAGGTGAAATAAGTGTCATATTTTTCCAAGTGTTTCAAGTTTACAGAACTTGTGCTGAAAATATCTTTATCGTGAGTCAGTTTCAATTTAGAACTATAAGATGTTTTCATTTAACATAATCAGTATATCCAGAAATCCATTCTACATCCATTTAATTTAAATTCATGGTAGATCTGATGCGATCCATATCAGCATTCATTTTGTGCTTACACATTTGCTCTTATGTTGGAAAATGGTAACATAAAAGTCCTTGAAATCAAATGCTATATTCTGAAAAAAGTAAATGTGAAGACAAGTTAGGAAAGTTGCTTTTAAAACTGTTCAGAATCACCTGCTTGATTTGGACACAAAGACCTGAAAAGACAAGGCAGAGATTAAAAGCATCTGCAAATTTACGGAATACTAGGAAAAACCCTTTATTTTTTTAAAGTAGCTGTATCAGAGCCCCAGTGTTTAATTCCTATTGAAAATTAAAACATGACTACTATTGCTTCTTAGTCTTTGGGGGTAACAAATGATATGTATACACATCTCATTTTTCATCTCTAATGGCAACCCAGCTGAACAATTTGCATGCAATATTAACCAAACTTCATCCGGAAGGATTCAGCCCATCAGTGTGATAATCACTTCTATGAATGTGTAGGGCAATAAAACTACATGGTCAAGTATTCTGGTTTAAATTCAAAATTTGATCTACCTGGACTGAACTCAGGAAGTGTTTGAATCTGACAGGGAATGTCTTCTGAATCTTAAATATTAATTTCTCTAAAAATCAACTAGTTGGTTCCCTCCCCCAAAAAACCCAAACAAACCCCTCAACAGTGCTTGAACGGCCTGCTTTAAAACAATGGGCTAAATTCACTAAACACCACTCAAGAAGGTGCCTCAGTAAGGATAGGCAGGCAGTCAGTGTTTCTCTTAGAAGAAGCAATAACTTAAAATTCCACTGGGTCTTCCACCATGGAGAGGAGATGCTGAAACAACATTCCTGGCCTGCTGGCCAATACTGTCAACTTTTGGGTGATATTAGTCCCCTACAAAAACATCCTATCATCACACACATCTTTCCCTTTGTGCCTTCTCTCCAGTGGGCACCGTGTTTTTAAGGATCTGTAGAGAGGGCAGCTTGTAAACCTCAGACACATCTATCCCAGTATTTCTGCACCTTCAGGAACCCAGTTCATAACTCCTGGGGCTGTCTCCTTCCTCACAGAGATAAATAGTGACAAAATATCAATCACATGTGCTCTGACCATGAGCTTCTGAAGCTGTGGAGACCATAGTAGCAGTAGCTCTTACAAAGCATGCTCTCTCTGTTTCTCTGATTATTGTTGACACCCAGATCAAACAAAAAAGGACAAAATATTTTTTGTCTGAGGTGAAAAACCTGTCATTGACTATTTTTGTTTAACTTGTGCTCCCTCTCCAGATGTATCTGCAGCCACCTGAGCTTTCAGGAGGATGTTCTATCTGAAATTTCAAAGCGTGTTACTAAGTGTGTTTTCCTTGACTGATCAATATTGCGGATACATTTTCAGGCAGTGCGTTTTAACATATGTTGCAGGATTAAATTTTGGAAGCATCAGGTGGCTTAAGGAACCAGAACAGAGCTCCAAAAGTCCAGCAATGTGATTGATCTTTTGTTGGTGCCTGTCATTATGAGGGTGAACTATAACCTTTTTAACCTGAACTGGAGTACTGAGAAATGTAATTAAGTTAAAACTTTGTGGGGAGTACACGAATGTTTCCAATGGAGTCCATGACTCTGCATATATGCTGTTTAACAGATCTGTATCTGGCCTATTCTTTTTGGGCTTCAACATCTAAAAGTGTCTTGGTGATTAACAAATACTCTTGTTAGGTTGTTGCTGATATAGATGAGGCTGTTAAAGCTAGAAAAATAATATTTCATTAAAGTCACATTAATATCAATCTCTATTGCAAATGCAGGGTCAAAAATTAGCCTTTTCCCAAAGGGAAGCAACAAAACCAGTATGGAGAGAGACACTATTTTTAAGCTTCCAAGAATATTAATATAAATCCTGGAATTCTTTGGCACTGTCTTACTAATATGCGAAATTTGGACTTTCCTTAATATTTAGGAGCGTCCTGAAGTTTAGCTTTTACTTTTAGCATTGTTAAAATAAACTTTCCTGTTTTTCTTAAGAGATTGGTTTTAGGCCAATAGTGAACTGAACTTTTTTATAAATGTGGTATGATCTAATTGGGAAGATTTCCAGATCACTTAGGTTGTGGTCTCTTAAATATCACCACATATGGGATAAGAAAGAAATGACGGAATAATAGATTTAAGTATTTATTCTGATATTCCTAGGAGGAAAGTCTTTCAGGAAGATACCCTGGGGATTACTTTTAACATGTACTGGGACAGATTCCAGCTGGTATAAATGACATAGCTCCAGTGGAGTTAAAGTGATTTACATATGCTGATGATCTGGACCACTCTCTCTGAATTCTGGAAGATGCAAAACAAAACACAAGGGACCTGCTCATGAGAAGCAATGAGCATCTGCTATGTCCATTAAAGACAAATGGGCATCCTGAGCCTACCAAGACTGAGCATGATGGTAAAATGCTGACTGCATTAACCAGAGATGTTCCTAGGAGATGTATGAGCTCAGCACTGCTCATAACCAGGCTCTATGAACAGATCTTTAAAAGAAATCTTTACCATTTATAGTGATTAC